CTTGGCCCCCTGAGCACACTGCTGGGTTCTGTTCAGCTCCTGTCTCTCCATACTCCCAGGTCCCTTTCTGCCTGGTGCTCTCCAGCCACTGTCCCAGCCTGGAGAGCTGCATGGGATTGCTATGGCCTAGGTCCAAAATGCTATTAAAATAAACATCCCCTTTCCTTTGCTGTCAAACTGGAAACCATTTTGGCTGTACCTCTAACCTTCAGTACTGGCCCAATTTCCTTTTCTCAGTGCACTCAATACCCACATGTGTCAGTATTTGATCCCTTCTGTACCTGTGCTTACCAACAAGAAGAAGGTTCAACTGCAGCTAAATCAGTCTCCTGTGATTGCTGGTTTCAAGTTCCTGGAAGTAACTATTTAGTCTTTAGTGGTTAGGTGGAGGTGTGGATAATGATCAGAACCAGATATTGTGTGTGTCTAGATTTTTACCTTTTAGTTAATGATTGGTCAAAGTAAAAAAGTGTTTTTCTTCCTCCAAGAGAATTTAGAGCTCACAGGGAGAAAGAGAAACAAGATCTCCTCAAGAACCTAAAGGATATTGGAAATGGAAGTATCTGTCCTGTTCTGAAGCAAACAATCCCTTTTGGTGTTGCCTATCACCATGGTGGCCTGACAAATGATGAAAGGAGGAGCATAGAGGAAGCATATTCTTCAGGTGTGCTGTGTCTGCTTGCTTGCACAGCTACTCTAGCTGCTGGAGTCAACCTGCCAGCTAGAAGGTGAGTAACCAAAGCATGTTCCATGGTTGGATTGAATTTTGCTTCAGGGAAAAAAATGGCTTTAATAAGTTGGGAATATCAAGCGGCATTAAAAGTGTGTTTCTCCTTTTACTAGCAGAGTGGTAGTATAAGGACTTTGTGTTCAGTTTTGGACACAAGACTGCAAGGTTTTTGTGGGGGAAATGTGGATCAGTAGCAAGTCCCTCAGCATGCACAGCTGAAGAGCATCTAAATGGAGTAAGGAAATGAGAGAATCATAGAATTTTAGAGGTTGGAATGGACTTTAGAGCTCATCCAGCCCCAACCCCTGCCCTGAGCAGGGACACCTCCCACCAGAGCAGGTTGCTCAAGGCTCAGCCAACCTGGCTGTGAACACTGCCAGGGTTGGGGCAGCCACAGCCTCCCTGGGCAACCTGGGCCAGGGTCTCACCACCCCCACAGCGAAAACTTCTTCCCAATATCTAACCTAAATTTCCGTCTTTAAATATGTGCCCATTTCCCCCTGGAAATCTTAATCAATTGAAGAAATGTTTCAGTATTTTAGTGATATTATTCAGGAGAACAGTGGTTTCTTTAAGTACTGTCTTAAGAACAGTGTTCAGATGGGAAAATAAATCTTTTCTAAGGAGTTGAATATGTTTTAAAAGAAAAATGTTCCCTTTTTATACCCAAGTGCTGCTGATGTGTCTGCTGTGCTCTGTATGACCCCTTTGTGTGCCTGTATGGCAGGATAATCCTTCTGAGGGGAGGAAAAAAACCTCATTCAGGTGCTGTTATTTTAGCATAACTGAGGTGTGCTCAGTGCTGCTTATGTTTTTCTGTAGGGTTTATTTTATATCTCAGTGGTTTTCATCTTCAACTTAGGCCTGAGAGCACATGTAACAACTAGTTCCAAAGGTTCTGCACAACACAATAAACATAGTTTATCCTTTAATAAACCTTGAAATTCTTTCCATTTGATGTATACATCTGTACAAAGAGGTGCTTTGCAGTTTTTAGCAGTTACTAGGTAAGGAGCATATATCAAAAGGAATTGGCAACATTTTATTGCTGCTTTAGCAGTCTGAATATAAAGCATAACTTATTCAAGACTTCTTTCCAGGGTTATTCTCAGAGCTCCTTATGTTGCCAGTGACTTCCTGAAGAAAAACCAGTACAAGCAGATGATTGGCAGAGCTGGTCGAGCTGGTATTGACAGTGCTGGAGAAAGTATCCTCATAGTGCAGGAGAAGGACAAACGCTTGGTAATGTTTGCAAAGCTGTTGGTAGTTTAAACTGTTGGGTTCAGTTGGTGGAATAAACAGAAGGAGCTGAGCTGCCCAGTTTGGTTTTTGTTCAAGGATTTGACTGAGGCAAAAACACCTTTAAACTACCTCAGTGAGGTTTGTTTTCACATGATAACTGTGAACTTGAGATGTTTACACTCATTTTCTTTATAAGCTGAGCCATGCACACCAGTATACAAATATGGCTAAGGTCTTTCTTGCTCTTTCTAGGTTCAGGATTTAGTGACCAGTCCTTTGGAGAACTGTTACAGCAACCTTCTGGTGGAGGTGACCAAGGGAATGCAGAGCCTGTTGTTATCTTTGGTTGGACTGAAGGTATCAGTTAACACTTCTCTGTGAGTAATTTAAGTGCTTGAAATGAGAAGCAAATGTTGATTCTGTAGCAAAAAAACATCCTTTTTAAACAGATTGGCTTTTAAGTTCAGAACAAGCTCCTAATCAGAGAAGGGCAAAGGTTTGAGTGTTTTTCTTTAACTCAGTGATCATGTGATGCCATAACATGACAATTGTCTTATGTGTAAATGCAAATCAGCATGTTATACAACACAGTATTAATATTTCTGTCTCTGATCCTTGATTCAAGATAAAAATAGAAACAGGAAACAAATTCCCCTGAGGCAGTAGCTAGAGTGACAGAGCAGATGTGGCACAGCCCCATCAGATCCACCCACACTGTCTATCATTCCATTTGTTGCCATGTATTCCTATGGAAACACATCAACAAGATATCAAACTCCTTCTCTAGGCAGTGCATCTTTTCTTCTGACTTATGAAATGTGTGAAGTTCTGCCTTTCATTGTGCTAACCACTTGCCAAACTGATGCAGATAGCAGTTACCCATGAGGAGGTGAACAGTTTTCTGTGCAATACACTGCTGGGTGTGCAGCAGCAGCTGCTGCCCAAAGAGAAGAGCCTCTCTGAGATCACTAAGGATGGGCTAGAAGATCTCATAGAAAAAGGACTTCTCAAAGGAAGAATATCTGGGGAGGGCAATTCCAAATGCACACTGTCAGTCACACCACTGGGCAAAGCCACATACAAAGGTAAGGCTGGTTTTATTCTTGCTATGATCTGTGTTTCACCAAACCCTTCATTTCACCCTTAACTCAAGGTGTTTTCCCGTCTTCAGTCTGAAACCACAGCGAAAAATATGTTGTAGAGAAACAGTTTTACTGAATGGACTGAAAGTGGGAATGAACAAGTAATGCATGACTGAAGGTGAGATCTTGTCTTGGAGGTCTTTTCCAACCCAGCTGGTTCTATGATTCTGTGAATCAGAATGGCTCAGGACCTTGTTTTATCATGGACTGTTATGAACAGGTCTGGTGAAGAGAGGGATTTCTTGGCCTAGAGGGAAGCTGAAGAGGGAGAGGGAGCATATGGCATGTGCGCCAACTGTAATATAGGAGGGAACATATCAGGAAGTTCTGTTCCTGTCATAGCTCCAACCCAGCTGGTTCTATGATTCTGTGAATCAGAATGGCTCAGGACCTTGTTTTATCATGGACTGTTATGAACAGGTCTGGTGAAGAGAGGGATTTCTTGGCCTAGAGGGAAGCTGAAGAGGGAGAGGGAGCATATGGCATGTGCGCCAACTGTAATATAGGAGGGAACATATCAGGAAGTTCTGTTCCTGTCATAGCCTAAAGATTTGGGGCATGGAACACAATTGGAATAGGATGAATCTGAGAGATTCCTTCAATCTACAAGACTGTTCGAGGATTTCATTCCACAAACACTCCAGAAACAGGCAGAACAGCCATCCATGGCAATAGGTTTTGTTCACAGCTCATGTTAGGTTAGCACAGTCATTCAGGTGACACTTATTTCTCTTCCAGCTTTTGTGGGAGATCCAGACAATATTGACTCTATATTCAAATCTCTTACACTGAACTCTGTGTGCCTGTTTATAACTGCAAACCTGTGTATTTCTTCCAGGGTCTATAGACTTGGCCTACTGTAACCTTCTGTATGCAGATCTGAAGAAAGGTTTGGAGGGGCTGATTCTTGAGAGCAATCTTCATCTTCTGTATCTGGCCACTCCCTACGATATGATTTCTAGCTGTAGCCCAGATTGGATGATATATTTGAGACAGGTGAGAGTTGGCTAGCAAACATGCATTGAGGCACACAGTAATGCTGCTTGCTGAGTCTGCAGTGAGTTTATAGGCACAGAAAATACAGTTAGTGAGGTAACCAATTAAGGAAAATAGATGCTGTGTAGTTTTCAGTCACAGGGCAGAGCTGCATAAAAATCTAAGTTTCTTTTGCATCTATATTTGACCCTGTTTGGGGGAAACAGTGGCATGAAACACTTCTTGAGTTGCCAGTGCTCCAAATCCTGGCTCTACCCTCTGTGCTAGCCTTGCCATCCCTAAAGGCTGGTTGATGTTAAACAAGATTTGGCTATAAACTAGTTATATGTAGCCACATCCTTGTAGTCCTGCAAGAAAACCACTATTAAATAGAGCCATATTTGCCTTCTGATGTTCACTCAGTTCATCTGTAGTTTAGGGAGCAAAACCCACTAGAGCTTTAATCATTGTAGGTATCTGATTGTATTGCTAACCTCCAGCCTTGACTGGAACTATTACACTGTGGCAAATACCTTCTGCAGACTCTGCTTGTGGCAGCCTCAGCAGCACAGCCCTTACCCCAGTGCCCCATGCTAAGATCCACCCAGCATTCACCTATTCCACTTGCTGTAAGTGTTGTGTCCTGGGGGAGCACCAAAATCTGGTTCGTCTTGTTCAACTGTGGCATTCAGAGATGGATACAGATCATTCCAACAAGCAGACAAAGAAGCTGCAGATCTGTGTCTAGTGACTGAGAATGTTAGAGAGATATTCAAAACCATTGTTTGATTGGAAGTAAAACATTTGTGTTTTCTATGATATAAAGAGAACTAAATACTTGAAAATTCTTTGTTCAAATCTTTTTTTTAGTTCAACCAGCTAAGTGCAGCAGAGCAAAAAGTAGCAGATATTGTGGGAGTGCCTGAAAGCTTCATTATAAAAAAGGCTTCTGGTCAAGCCATCAGAAAGGTAGGCTGGAGATGGCTCATACCTAAGGTGACAGTTGTGTCTTGTCATTTCCCAACCCTGGCAGTGTTCACAGCCAGGTTTGATGAAACCTTGAGCAACCTGCTCTGGTGGGAGGTGTCCCTGCCCAGGGCAGGGGGTTGAGGCAGGGTGATCTCTAAGGTCAATTCCAAGCCCTAAAATTCTATAATTATTTCCAATAATCATAAGTTGGGGGGGACTGTGGCTCTACTGGAAGGCAGGAGGGCTCTGCAGAGGGACCTGGATAGGCTGGAGAGATGGGCTGATTTCTTGGTGTGTAATGGGTTTGTGGTATAATACAGACGTTTTAGAGCTGTGAAGTTGAGATGCAAAGAACTTCCTTGCAGCACTAACAGGAATACCTGGAGTATGATACTGACTCTGAATTCTAGCTTGCTTGACTCCTAGCGTGTGGACAGTGCTGTGGTGAACAGGCTCTACCTGACATTGGTCCTTTATACCCTGCTGAAAGAGACCAACATATGGAGTGTTGCAGAGAAGTTCAATATGTCTCGAGGATTTGTGCAAAGTCTCCTTAGCTCTGCTGCCTCGTTTGCCTCCTGCCTTCTACATTTCTGTCAGGTACTGTTTTGCACAAATGGCAATAAATTCCCTGTGGTTGGTTTTGCAAAATCTGAAGTTTTAGTCTCTTACTGTAGAACTGAACAAGAGTGTTGTGTTCACAGCCAGGTTGGATGAA